CTCTCTCTCCCCCCCTCTCTCTTCCCCTCTCCACTTCTCTCCCTTCCCCTCTCCACCTCTCTCCCTTCTAAAATTAATAAATAAAAATTAGCCTTGGCCAGGTAGCTTAGCTGGTTAAGAACATCCCTCCTGATATACCAGCCAAGGTTGTGGGTTTGATCCCCAGTGAATGCATAAATAAGTGGAACGACAAATTGATGTTTCTCCCTCTCTTCTCTCCTTTCTTCTCTCTCTAAAAATCAATAAATAAAATTAAAAAAAAAAAAAGTCAACTACCATGGGTTTGAATCCAGAACCTGCATCCCCTTAATGTGTGGTCTGGGGCTATAAGCTGAGCCTCCCAGAGTCTCAGCTTCTCAGTTGTAAAATGGAGAATGTGATGTTATCGTGGGCACTTTGCCTTGGTTGTGTCCTGACCCAGCACAGCTCCTGCCCCCAGGAGGCGGTGAGGTAATATGAGATGTGGTTACCCTTTGAGCAGGCCGGGGACTCCCATGCCCCATGCACATTTAGTTCCGCCTTTCCTGCTCTTGGGGAAGTCCAGAGCTGCTTCTGCTCAGGGGAATTCCAGGCCTACTTGCCCAAGAACCAGAGGCTGAGAAGTGAGATTCCCCAGCACCCCTCCACCAACTCCAAAGAGAAGGGAGAAGGCGAACAGAGAGTCTCAAAGGGTGGTCAGGGTTGGGAAACAGGAGAATGGAAGATGGACACCATGGTTACCAGCTCCACAAAACTTTCTAATGCAGACTGCAGTCCAGATTCTACCACTTTCTGGCTAACCTCTCCTCTCCAGGCCTCACCATTTCCCTGTGTGAAATGGGAATGATCCCAGGATCACCTTCGGAGAGCTGTTTTCACATCTCACCCACCCCAGACAGAGTGGGCAAAAAGCTGAGGGCAGGTATCTTTGGAAGCAGGATAGGAGGGAGGGGCTCAGACAGACATTTTTTCAGCTTTGGAGGCACCGGGGTCTGAGGAAGCTAACACAATCCTTCTCCTTACCTGTGGCTCCTTGCTTCCTGCCCTGTCCTAGGAGTTACTTTCATTAGCAGGGTTAGGGGGACTATACTTACCCACATTACAGATGGGGAAATTGAGGCCGGAGAGGGAAGACCACTTGTCAAAGAGAGTGAGGAACCAGCCTGATTAGAACCCTTCCATCCCCAGAGGGCTGCCACCAACCTGACCTCACCGGAGTGAGGACACTGATGCCATGTTCCTCCGCTGCTGAAATCCTCCAATGGCTCCCCATTGCTCTCAGAATGAAAAATACATCCTAGGCATGACTTACACTGCCTGCATGATCTTCCTGATCTTATTTCCCCCAACTCTTCCCCCGTGCTGACTTGGCTTCAGACACCCTGCCCCAGGACTTTTGCACTTGTAACTCATTCCCCCTTTCTCTGGATCTCCAGTCTCATGATTCATATCTCTGCTCATACATTACCCTGTCACCAAGTCACAGTCTGTTCTATCACCCAGTGTGTGTGTGTGTGTGTGTGTGTGTGTGTGTGTGTGTGTGTGTGTTTGGTCAGTGCTCTTATTAACATCAGTTATTATCTTTCTTGCTCATGAATTTTTGTCTCCCACACTGACAGCAGAAAGTTCTGTCTTATTTAAGCCTGTGTCCCCAGCACAGTCTGAGTACCCAGGAATCTTGATGAGTACAATTTGTAATGCCTTTCTCCTCTTCACACTTTCGTTCCAGGGCCTGGAGGTGCCCAAGTATCGGTGTACCCCAAAGATGCCATCATACCCCGAGGAGGCTCCATGCAGGTGAACTGCAGTACCTCCTGTGATGCAGCTGCCTACATGGGTCTGGAGACTTATTTGACCAAGACCGAAGTGGACAGGGGGTTCAACTGGGTGACCTATGAACTTAGTGACATACAAAACAGCACCACTCCGATGTGCTTCTCCAACTGTCACGATAAGCAGACGAGGGCTTCAATGTCTCTCACTGTGTACTGTGAGTGGTTGGGCCCAGGGGCTGGACTAGGCATGCGGGGTGGGGGAGGTGGGGCAGGGGAGTCCATAGTAGGCTGGGACTGCCTTTGAAGTTTGGTGGTGGGGCCAGGGAGGGTCTCACTGGAGAGCAGGTGGTCACATCTTCCCGGAAAGCTTCCTTGTCATTTGAAACCCCTCCTTGAACTTGCTTGGGTGCAGTTAGCGTATCAACAAGGATTCTGGACGTTTGAGAATGCTGGCTCTCGAGGCCTCTGCCGAGGCCCTAGATCTGACTCTTTTTTAAAAGATGCAAATTAAAACTAGCCCTGAGGTGGCTTTTTTTCACTTATTGGCAACAATGGAAAGAATTGATAACAGCTGTGCTGACAGGACTGCAAGATAGCAGGCAATCCTGGGATATTGCTGACAGTGTGGGAGCATAAGGAAGCACAACCTCAAGCAGGGAAGGGGCCTCAGTTCCCCAAATGACACATCCACGTGCCCTTTGGTACAGAAACCCTACTGCTGGGAATTGGGCTTACATGTGTCCCTGTCCACAGGGAACTGGGGGTGGGATGGAGTGGGATTACGCACCGAAGCTTTATTTGGAAGGGCAAAAGTTTGCAAGCCACTCAGTTGCTGGGCGCTGAGAGAGAACTGTGGTTGGACTATACAGTGGACTAGTGTGCAGCTGTGCAAGAATGAGGAAGCTCCTATGTGTCCCCCAAGAGAGTGTGCTCTAAGGATCTAGACAGGTCACATTCAAAAGAAGTAAGATATGCTCAGAATGAGTGGCATGCCATTCTGAGTGTTGAGGAGTGGCAAGAGTGGGGTGAAGGAGGTTGTGTTTATTGAAGGAAATGACCGTATTAGCTGG